ACGAAAAGGTAAAAGTGCCGGAAGCGGGGCGCAATGTCTTCGAAGACACCACCTTGGTAGCCAAAGACCAAGGCCACGAGCTCGGGCTGGCGCAGCACTGCGTCGAGCAACGTGGCCATGCGAGCGCCAGATTGCACTTTGCTCGTCAAGTGCCCTTTCCAGACGGTGTTTGATTAGTGTGCAATTTGTATTAATGGTGTTATAGTATGCGAAATCGCGTTGCCAAACACAGCGCATCAAAAGCAAAAGTTGGGATTTCGATGAGCCGTGCGAAGCAGCGCCGATGGCCGTCGCCGGCCCCGACCACGTGCTCATGGGCATCGTCCAGTGCTTGGCGTCACCGCATCACGTCTTAATCTTTCTGAACGGCGTCAACACACCGACTCTCGGTACGCCTCTCGCGGCTTTTTTCCAGTTGCTCCGGGCGCCGCGCTGGGCGATGTGCAGTGATCCCCGTACCCCGAGCGACGATGGCCACTGGTTACCCTATCTGTGGCCTCGCTTGAAGTTGGACGATGTTCAGCCTGCTGCCGCTGCACTCGTTGTCGATGCCATGCCCGTGTTCCTGGAGTTTACTTTTCGTCTGGCGCCAACCGCACGATTGTCTTGTGGCACAAGCCGACGCTGTCCGACATGTTTGACGTTAAGAGCTGCCGCCTCGCCAAGGAGAGTTTTCGGCTTTAGTTCCGCTGCTGCAAAGTCAAACGCGTGTGGACGGGTTCGAACCAGTGCGCGTACGACCGCAGCCTCGGCAAGTCGCTCCACGCGCGATCGCGTACGTGTACGTCGTACGTCACGATAACGCCAAACTGCACACGGCGTCGAAATCGGCATTCCCTAACCTCGAACACGTGGCCACCAATTCGAAGAGCATCAAGGTCGTAATGTTTAAAACCATCACCAGCGCTGTGCTGCAGCTCGCGTGCAGAGCACCTCCATGGGCGAGCTTGAGCCACCACCGGTTTGTGTTTGTGCCCAGCGAGGTAGCGCCGTCCTTGCTGGTTGCCGCTCGCCGGCAGCGTCATAAACAATCTAGTCGTCCATTGCAGTTCCTACTTTACTCGTGCATCGGCATAAGACCTCGCAGCACCGCTACGGCAAGTTGTAGCGCTTGCCGCAGCCGAGCACGCGTCCTCGCGGGCCTTGCAAAGCCTCTCTACGCAATGCGCTTAGGCTGATGCTGGCCACGGCCCCGACCGTTGCTACGCGACATAGAACTAGTGCGCACGCCCGAGTACGCCCCATTTTTTTCCAACTCTGGCGCACGCCGATTGGTCCTCGTCACCTCCGGGCTGCAGCATGCGCGACTTCCTCCCTTCCACGCGGCACTCGACATAGATGTTGGTCCACGTGAGCTCGAGCTCGAGTGCGATCATCCGCCCAATCTGGACGTTGGTCGTCGGTGACGCTGGTCTCGAGGCGTCGGTTGCCGTCAGGAAATTGGCCACGATAAGTCAAGTCTTGGCCTCAATGAGCGACAAATTGACCAATGGCGGCCCACCAACACTAAAGCTGTCCAATCACAGCGAGGTATCG